TAAGGGTGATGCGTTGCTTATGCTCTAGTTAATTTGGGCACATACGCAGGAGGGTGGAGCAAGACTTTTGAAATAATGTGAGGAAACTATCCTGTTCCACGACGCAAGGTTTTTTATTTTAATTTTAATATACTCAGTTTTATCCGTACTTTTACGTGGGCTTTGTACTAAAAGAGGACTTGTGCGCAGATGTGATAATAGCGTAAAAAGCTCGAGGTAATTAAATCTGTAAGCATGCACACCTGGAGTCAGTGTTTCTTTATGAATCGTAGTTTGTGTGGAGAGGATCGGCCTCACATCCAGCCCTGTATCCGCCCAGTTTCTACCATACATGGTCGATGCTAACCTCATGAATAGAAAGTTACTGATCACTGCTTATTTCTCTGTGCCAGTGCAGCCGCCATGAGTCAGTATAATGCAGTAAGCGATTAAACCCAGTAGCCAAGTATCAGAAGTTCAGGCCTGTGCATTCCGGGAGTGGGTGAGGGGGTAAAAGTGATGGCGAAAGGGCGCTGAAGAAATCTCATACAATTTCAGAGTGTTAGCGAGTTTTAACAAAAATAATTTATAAGCGTCTAAAATGTTAAAACCAACTTTAAAAAAATTTAAGCATAACTTATTGGGGCAAATGTTCTGAGTTCAAGGAGTAAAAAGTGCAGGCTTGGACAGGATGAAATACAATCCTTCCTCTGGTCAACAAGGGCGTTTGGCACTTTAATACAACACGTGCCAGGGACAGTGTTACAGTTACATACGCGTCTGGATGTGCAGCATCCATGTTTCTTTACTTGCTGGTCTTCATGGCATATCACAGCAGCAGATGGATACCAAAGAATCAGAGATTAAGATTGTAAGTACTCTCATACATAAAGATTTCAGAATGACTTTCTGTTTACTATGACCTTAATCTATTTTCCATCACTTCCCCCTTCACAGTCAACTACTGAATGTACTGTTCATCACAATTGTTCTGGTTCCTCAGTTCTACGTGATGGGAAGGTAAGTGGGACGCAGGCAATGGCATCATGCCATACAGCCCGCAGGTTACTCGTACAAGAAGGAACATGAAGTTAACAATGGTTTCTATTTTGGTTAAAGGCCCAAATCCTCAAGATACTGCAGGCAGCCCCTTCTGAACAACCTGTCAGCCTCAGTTGCTCTGTCCTTGATGGCTTCAGGTAAGTCTCCTCAGCTCAGCAGTCCCAAAGCAGATACTCTAACAGCATTTACACAGGTTTAATAGGAACAGTGATTGTTTTTTTTCAAGGTTTTGCAGTGATATTCACACTGACAGACCCAGTTCATCAGAGCTTGTGGGCTGCCTACCATGTGTTTGGTCTACTGTCATGTGGCCAAGGTTTGTGCACTACTATCCTGACTCTGACAGCAGCAGCATGTGTAAGAAAAAAAAAAAAAGCAATATTAGCCAGTTCAACCCCTCAAAAAAACTCCTGCAGCATATCAATGATTTCTATGTACGCTATGTTCACAGGCCAAAACCACCCCTGAGCTGTACTACATGTCCCTTGTCCTAACAGTGGTCTCTGCTATCAGTACAGGTGAAAGACAACTCTCCCTTTCTCTTGCACACTGGAGAATTCATTCATTCATAAAATCTTCATTTCGAAGGACTAACACCTGCTTCTGTCCGTTCAGGTTTTTTCATGGTCAGAGGAGGACTGTGGCTAACCAACAGGCACTCTGTGACAGATCCAAGCAGAAACAATGAGTTATAAAACACTCCAGCTGTCCCACAATGATATGTGACACTACACATGTAAAGAATTCATGAGGGCTCCTTGCCACCAGCAGCTTGTAATTTTAAACCAGGAGAAAGAAAAAGGGAAAGTGAGTTAATCCAGCTCACTTTTTTTTTTAATGCACACTTCAGAAAAGCAGCTGTTGATTTTCTTTTTGCACCGAGGAAATGTATTTCATGTAACAATTTATTACTAAAAAAATAATATTTCATACAGTAGATTTGACATGATTACAAGCAATGGTGTGACTGTAAATTCTGAACTGGATTTTTATCTTATTACTGAAGCTACAATAAAGAAATTCTAGCATGAAAACTAAAATTACATTTGTTGATTTAAAGCCAAGGTGTTCAGGAACCCCTCATCTAAATGTTTTAATATAAAGTAACTGTAAGAATTACTTTCATATAAAAAAAAAAAAAAAAAGACAAGTGCAACTTCCAGTTCTTTTTAATTTTCTTATTATAGACTGTATTGACAGACTCCCAAACATCATTTCATATGTTACATATCCATTCAATACAAATCACTTTGTAAAATTCTCAAATATAAAGCAGGAGGAAAGATATAAAAGTATGAAGAAGAAATCAAATCACTTCAAAAATGCAGTGATGCAGAGGAAATCAGACTAAACTGCTGTGGCTTACTACAACAGAAAATCTGTGTTGCATCATATGAAATACAATAATGTATAATGTTGATTTACACTTGCCTTCAACCACAGTGTTTAACAATTTCTTTCTGGACCACCGCCCAATGAAAGACTTAGATTACTGATGCCCTTAATTAACGGTATCTGTAATTAACACAATCATTTTTTTGTTTCCTGCAATGTTAACACACCAGTATGCACAAGCTCTTTAATCAAAATAATTTTAATGCTAAATATATGTATTCATCTGTTAATTTTTACATTTAATGCTTAAAAGAAAGCAGAAAAAAACCAGTAAACTTTGCAAATTATTATTTTTGATGAAGATGCCAAATTGCAGTTATTTACTTTCATTCATGGAGAGAAAATTGTTATAGAGACTGAATGTTAATTTGAATAATTGATATATTTCTGACTTCTCACAATTCAGTTTCCCAGCTGAAATTTGGAAATTAACTGTAAATTCAGTTAATCGTTTGCCTATTAAATACATTTTTTCTGTATTGTCTTGTTTTTAAATGGCAGGTGCTACTAAATTTGTTAAACACCGTATTCACAACAGACTAATATAGCTAAAGAGATGACGGATGTGTTTAGCATGTTTTCTTACTTTGTTCCTTATCTTGAGGCACAAAGACAACACCACTGCTGACACTTAGTGGAATTGAGCTTTTATTTAAAGATGGTCTTCAATAAAGAAACCAAAAATATGATGTAGTGTTAATGTTGTTTTCAATCATTTTGACTCAAAAGCACCTCCAGGTCACATTAATAGAAGAAAAATGTGATCCGAGTATGGGAATGTGATTATCTCTTTAGTAAAACACATATTTTACATCACCTGATTGTGTATGTATGGCAGTACCACTCCACAGAATAAAACATTCATCCAATAAGAGCAGATTATACAGTAAACTGGATATCTTTAAATTCACCTGAGATCAGTTATAATTCACACATACAAACACCTTAATTCATCCGTGTGTTGTAACTGTCTTCCAGCAACACAACAATCGTCTGCGCTGTGTAGTTTGCAAAGGAAACTTCATATATTCCTCTAGATTCCCACTCACTTCACACTTAGACTTAAATGATCAAAAATCTTCATATGCATTTC